GCACGCACACACAACACACACACGCACGCACGCGCGCGCGCTTCTCTTCACGTTTCCATACACAGTCTCCAGAATTCAATCGATATTTCTAGCTAAAATTTCAAATTTACTTTTCCTTTGAATAAACAACGGGAACATTTACAACAGTAAATTCTACATACACGTTACTAAACAGGTATAGTTAGTATCATTATTTTACTTTTGTTTGTTCATTTTGAATAATAATATTACCCTTGCTTGATCCTGTTTCGGAGTAATTCCGATGTATTCCATGTGCGAATACTGTTACCTCGAACTTGTAAATTAATCGTCGCTGAACAATTTTCTTCCTTATAAAAAATACTATACGTCCAACTATATTTGTGTTACTCGTAACGGATACTTTACGGCGTGTATAATGAATCGTTGTACGGGTTAAAATGAAATGAATTGTACTTTCAATGTTAATTCAAAGAGGAACCAAGTAGATCTGAGCAGCCTGTTTTAATAAATATAAAATGCAGACTAAAATATATGTCTAATGCTTGCTGTACTCGAGCAGGTACGTATCGTCTCGTATATCGCAATGCTTCTCTCAGAATTTTTCAAAAGTGATGATTGTCAGAAATTTGAACTGTGATTGCTCGAGCGTGATTGGCTGAAAATATTGAAAAACTTTCGCGCCACTTTAACGTCGTATTTGAGTGAAAATTTCCAAGTTACTTTTCGTTCGAACTACTAGAAAGGTTGTGACGATAAATGATTCGTTAATATTCTCTTACCATTAATTTCAATTTCTGCTACGTTTGAATTGCCTAAACACTTATGAATCAGGCAAAATACAAACATTCGGAAATAGTCGATTCAAACGCGACATTGAAACTAAACTGTGAATTCGTGATCTGGAAATGAATTCTGCATGAAACATTAAGCGGATAGTAATAAGAGCGATAAAAATGAGATTATTGGATAGTAAGTACCTGCAATCCTATTGCCAATAAAGAATTTTTGTTGCTCGTATGACATCGATGACGTACTTGTTTCACGAATATCGATAGAACTACCGATGACGATTCACAATCGAATACCATTGAAACACGAACGAGCATGCCATGTGCTTAATTTTACTGTGCAGCCTGGCACATCGAATAACACGTCGATCGGGAAAATGATTAAACATCATAACTTGGACTAATCCTTGTCGTTGATATTCAATACGTCGGTGATTATGTAGCTTTTTCACAGAGTTACCCAAAATGGGGGCGCTACAATCTTGCATCGTTGGTATCGGAAACCTTCATTACCGATTCTTGGTTTTTCTAATTAACTCGTAAAGTGTAGACGAACTCGATCGGTAACGGATTACGATCGTTACAGAAGCAGAAAAAGTCTCTCACACTTGTTGTCAATTTTTAGGAACAGAGATTGTTTACGGATTCATAAATGGTTTCGCCATCCAGCGGCGAGGGGGCTAATTGTAGACAGCATCGATACTGCAGATCCACGGAAAAATAGTGCATACAAGTCCTGAGGAACAAGTCGGTAATGCCAATTACGGTGACAACCACGAAGCGTCATTCCTTATTTTACCCGTTGCAATGGTTATTTATGTGTTTTATAATATGCTGCCAAGTTTATTTACGATTAGGTAACGATTTCTATACATATGTACAAGTATGCACACTATATACTCTACATACATGCGTATGTAGGTATTTATGCAGCACTTGTATCTCTAAAGATCATCTTGATTTATTGTTACATTACAAACGAAACGAGTAACGATAGCGAAAGACGTTTTGGTAGACTTTTAACATACTTTCAAGTGTATCATCGTTGGCTTAGAATACCACAATATGTATGTATATTCGGATCGTTGCTACTGCTGCTGTGTTAGTCGGGGAATCAATTGCTTTGAATATTTGATGAGGGTACCATCGCTCTTCTGAAATCTATACTCGCATTCATGGCTATATTTGTAACTCGCCGGGGTAGTAACTAGCTTTTTAAGTGATCCATTGATATGTGTCCACATCATGTTTCATGCCATAACCTATAAACATGTCCTAAGAGTATTCGTCGACCCGAAATGGCCTCGGTTCGATCCAAGTACTTTACCAGGCACACTACTTTTCAAGGAAACAATTACACGTTCGAGTACTTTGGTACAAGTTTGCCCCTATATTATTGTAAACTTGAATATGTATATTATACATTTGCCAGAGTAGAAACATGAATGTTGAGAACGATTCGGTTCGGAAATATAATGCTTCTTTTCTGAAATCGAAATGCTGTAGACGGTACATTTTGTATCGAACCATCTGGAGCGTTCTCCTCGGAATGGCATGTTTCCCAAACAATCGGAAAGCCAAGTCTCTGGAACGTCTCGACAAAGACGTCCCATGTGCATACTCGAACGTATAAAATACGATGAAACAACGATTATACGTCTACTCGTTTGTATAGGTATGTTAACGAATTCACCTGATGGTTGACAACTGTATACCCGAAAACTACTAAAAAACAATCCCAGGTGAATTCCTTTAGAATGCTGTGCATTTTGTCAAGTTGTGTATTTATCGTTCCAAAGATCCGCAGCGGGGGTAGACGCGACAACTGTGTTTGTCGCTGTTTTTAAACCGGGCATGTGCCTCCAGCCACAAGAGTCAAGGTGTCAAGATGCTCGAAGAAACTTCGATCAAGGATCTTATTGTTAGCTTTGACGATTAATCACGCCGCAGTGAACCGACACTAAACGACGACGTTCTTGTTCGAGGAAAATCGGAGGCTCGCTCATAATTTGATAGTAAGTGTGTCGCAACAACGAATACTTCATTGAATAACAATCACTCGATAATGTTAGTTTGCTCGTTACACGAAGGACCGATGAAAGGGAAAACTGAGAAAAATAAAGCATCCTTCCGACAGTACTCAATAACGGTGGATAGTGATACAACGGAAAGTGATTATGAGTCACAACCTGACGCGGCTGTACGATCAGGGGAGGGTAGCAGGTGCAACTATTGTTAGCGCTGGTGGTACTGGTGGTGCTGCTGGTGTTACCATTACTGCAGGGGTAGCCAGCTGGGTAAGCCAGCAGGGGAACGGATGTTCCCAGGAGATTATTGATCGTGCTCGTAGATACTTCCACTTGCGGCTATATGTATGTACACGAGCGACGCAAAACTTTCTTGGAAGGTGCAACTGGATTTGCATCGTGTTTCTCCTTCTCAAAGATGTCCGACACAACCAATATACACGATACGATAATGCCTTGGGGATTTCTGAATACAGGAGTGAAGGTGAAACGCATCTGATCGATGAAATTCCACCGTTCTCCAACGAGAAGCTCGAGAACCTTATCGCGGCCGAATTCGACTGTTCGTCGTAACGTTCGCCGTTAACGAAAGAAATAGCGGAAAACAAGCGAAAGGGAAGGACAAATCGAAGAATCGGATCGCGTTCCCCTGTTCTTCCGGGGAAAGTGTACGAGTCATTCGGAGACAGTAATGCACAATCGTTATTTTCGACCCGTACCAACGGGCTACCGTTAATGGACGAAATTGATTACGCGATAAACATGTACAGAGTTTGAATATTTCAATCTTCCAGCATGGTTCTAGGAAGAGAGGGTTAGTCGAATATTTGGATAACGCCCCTGCGAAGGTTGCGGCGTACAACCGTACAAGGTGATATTGCGTCTGCGTTTCATGCGACTTTGTCAGGGAAATTTTTCCCTAACGATCCCGACGGACGCCAGCCAATAATAAACAGGGTTCTGAAATTTAACACGCCATTCTCCACGTCGTCGAATAGCTGTGCTTCTTTCCCCTCTCTTTCGCAGTAGGATATCGTAAGTGACGGTCACTGCCTTTCTGATTCGATCAATGAAAGTACCTTCACTAGAACGACTAGGTTCTGCGTCCACCCCTAATTTAGATCTAACCAACTGATTTTTAGCTATCCTTCCGATATTGATACACGTCCACCATTGATGACGGCGGCACGTAAAAAAAAACTGCGACAAAAACAAATGGAAAACGAATGATTTATGTTTTAGAGTATTTTCGATTACGGTTATCAGTCTATTTCTAGAAAATACTGTTGAAAACACACAAACGAAAAGGTAGGAATATAGATGGAAATTGCAGCAGTACGTACTCGAGTAACAGCCGACGGCCGAATAAGCGGAACTTGAATATCCTTCTCGAAAAATCGGGGCCTTCTCAAAGAACCGAGGGACTGTCTTGTGTATACTGGGTTAGTACGCAACCTTTGAATCACCGTTAATATGCATCAATGGATACGCTCCTGAGAAGAAGAGAAGCGCGATAATGATTGGCGTCGTTTAATGATTGTTCGACGAAGCTACTGAAATAGGTTGTTACCAATCCACCGGATCGTGTCTTTACCGAACGTACACGCAGTTATAAACATACTTGTGTGTGTAGATGCACGTAGATAAATACACGTATTAGCTGGAGGAACAGATTGAAATAACGAACAGGTGGATTACAATTAAGTAGTAAGCATGCATGTATGTGCTATATGCACACGTACACTCCTCTCGAAGGATGGCGGACGCTACGGTGTACGTTCATCGCGACGACAATGCGTAACGCGCAACGATGCATCTTATTTTCTAGAAGCTTTGCAGTACCTTCTGCCAGAAAAATTCTCCGGACGATTGTTGGCGACGTGCCGTTAACGATTCGCAATCAAACAAACATGGAACTTTCAATCAACTCGATCGTTCACTTTCCGTGCTTATTTCCACGCAAGGCAATCCTCCCGTTCAAACTCAAAGCCAGATTAGGAATTGTTCGCGGCAAAGGATAACACGATCGCTGTGTTGCGAATACAACGACCCGCCCATTGAATTTCATTCCGCCCAGAAGAGGAATCAGCATTGTTCCAACGAATGCTTGGGACAACGAAGTTTGGAGGAACATTCGGCAACGTCAACCATTGCCATGCCATCGTATTCTAAGATGCCAAGCTGCGAAAAAAGAAGGAAAACAAAGAGTTTCCATTTGGAATAGGCACTTAAAGGTCATCTCTGATTCGTGTTCCTCTTGAACTGGTGCAAGTTTATTTTTGCTTGAATTCATCGGTGATTCGAACGCGGAGGATGCATTTCCTAATGTAACTTTCGATATCCGAATTTACATATTTTCTGGCATAATTATGTAGTATCGGTAGAGTCGACATGCAAAGGTATGCAAAGACATGCAAAGACATGCAAAGACATGCAAAGACATGCACAGACGAACGAGACAAGTTACAATTTGATATCGATTTGACAAGGAAATTCTGAATGGATTAAATTGTTCCGTGGAACATATTTAAATATCGATACTTGTAGTTTGAAAGATTTCTACGTGCGCGACGACAAAAAGACTCTAAGAAAAACCTTAATGACGGACGCAAAGAGATAGGAAACGATTTTGTTCGGTTTTCGAAGCAACGAGAGCGCGTGTATGTTACCGTTACAATCAGGTGCGGCTTTGATTCTTCGAATAATTACCTACTCTCATCTACGATTTTTCACTTTGTTCGAAAACAAACTTTTCTTCGTAATACCGCCTTAAATGCAACGCGACTAATGCAAAACGCCCGAAATTCTGCCAAGAGTTTGTTTGTTTCAGTGGTTTGCTGGACGAATGACGCACGCGAGTAAATCGAGTAAATCGAGACAGGCATGGAAAAAGAAAAAGGACAACGAAAGCTCGGCGGTAAGTATCATAAATAAAGTACGCGAGGGTGAGGTCCGCAGTTTGAGAAATTAAGGGAGGGTAGAAAACCGTAGGCCTGAGCAACACGTACGTGCATATGGTCCACCTGCAAAAGGGAGCCAACACCTGTCCCGTGCGCCAACCACGATCCATGCTCTACGGCAAGAAACTAGATTCAAAGTGGGGGATTATCTGGGCTTTCGCTAACCCGTAGTAGTAGTTACATTCGAACGATCATGCGGTTTAGTCATTTTACCGTGTACGTCGATAGTAATGCACATATGAACGGTAGAATTAATAACAGAACGTGATAACGTGTACGTACACGAGCTATTCGATATTCTCTCGTACCTACTGAGATCAATTACGGGTACCGAGCTACTTTCATTCACTTGGACTCTGTCGGCTTTACGACAGAACTTGGACATGTCGTGCAACGTTTAAACAATGATTTTGGTGTGTCTAGTTTTACTTTTGAGTGTGACATATTCATCAGCTTGCTTAAACGAATCCGATTGTTCGAGTGTTTCGCAACGCGTACCATTTCAAATTTTCTCTGGAATCTCCTTCTGAAAGGACGTATCCCTGTAGCGCCCGCAACATTACATCCATACGTCGCGTCGGTGAGTTGAAATTCAAATATCTACGTGGAGCATTGAAACTGGTCGTTGTAATTTTTCTTTTTCTTTTCCTCGATCAATGACATGTATTCACATGTCATATATACCTGCACATGTACACGCATACCGCTGCCGCGTTCCTACATCGGAGAATTTCTTCAATCTTGTCTTTCGCGTTAAACTCGTTTCAACCTTTTGCATCAACGAACGGACGATTGTGCCATGCCCAGAAGAGATTATTTCTGTGCATTTGTCTACGTAGAAAATTCAGAACGATAAAGTCGAGCAGAAGTTGATCGAAGCGTTCTATCATTTTTATATTGAACGTCATTGGCTTCTATATCTGTGATATATCATAAAAACGAGGCTATTGTTTTATTATTGCATCTCACCGTTTAAATTTCTACATGTTTCTTTACTCTTCTTTACTCTTTACTCTTTACTCTTTACTCTTTACTCTTTACTCTCTGTACTCTCTACTCTCTACTCTCTACTCGTACATGTATCTACATAAATAAGTGCCTATGAAAAGTTGTTTCGCGCCCGTGTTTCCCTTTCTCTCTTTCTCTCTTTCTTCTAAAATAAATAAGAATGGGCACTCGAACTATTCCGTGCATAACGCAGCATAAATAACCAAGAATGTAGGTACATAAATACTTGTGCAGGTTTATGTACGTCATTTCATTGTTCGATCATTTCGCAGAGATTCCCGTCACTCGTCTTATACTTGTGCAATGAAAGATAGCCAAAATGAAGGCCGAGGTGATTGTCATTGAAACACCAATGGATTGTGGATCATCAGCTATGAAGGGAAATATACACGATGACGAGTACGGCGTCGAAGCAGAGTTGACGAGCCTTTCGTGGTTACAATCGCTCGATATTACAAGTGCTTCTAATTTACCAACACCGCCCTGTTCTCCATCCCCTCCGCCAGTAAATAGACAAGCAAGAAAAAAACTGTCCCCTTTGATTAAAGCTGAATTGGGTGAGTAAAACTGTCACTGCGAACCTCTCGGAATATTTTCAAATCAAAGAATCGCATCGAAAGTATTCCGAAGATTACCTATCGCTAGGCGGTACCAATACAATCAACGTATCTCATACCCGTGACGATTTATCAAAAGAATAAAAGGATCCTTCTTAGAAAATACATGTCCAATGTGTCCACGCGTAAGTTAAATTTACGTTAAATTAACGTTATCCCGAGGAATTCAAGTTTCGAGTCAACCGAAAAAATAACTATGTACATAAGTAAGCACGAACCATTAGAATCTATCGACCACAGAAAATAAATTGCTGGTAAACGAAGCAGCTGCGGAAGAAACACAAGTTTCATTGAATCAATAAGAAATCGGCCATTGTAGCGATAAGCATTTCATTTATATTACAAATTTATAGGAGAATAACTTACAACTTGTTACATCTTTCATTTGTATAGATTTAGCTGAAAATGCTGAAAAGTATCGAACCGATCCTGACGCGAAACCGCCATTTTCTTATGCTACGATCATATGCTTGGCAATGCGAGCGAATAATAATAAAGTGTCTCTCTCGAACATATACGCGTGGATCCGAGAGAACTTTTTATTTTATAAATATGCAGATCCCGCTTGGCAGGTAAGAAATTTCTGGGAAATTATGATTACGTAGGGTATGGTTGCTGAAATTGCACTCCGTCGGAGAAACGGTGTATAATGTGAAATGAACGAAAATGTTCATGTATGTATGCATGTACCTATATACACACCACTCAAGGTCCGACACGTACCTATTACATTTCAAATAAACGCGATAAAACTACGTAGTATATACCTCCGATATAATTTCGAAAAAACAACCGCTTAAATGCTACCGACTAAATGTGTCAAATGTTCCGAAGATGATAAGAGAACGCTTTGTCAGAAACGCTGTTGCTGTGCTATTCAATTGGAAACATAAGAGGTACGACTTGAGCGACCTTACCCTGCGTACAAACATGTATGCATTTATACATGTACAAGTAGGTACATGTGTATACTTGTTCGCGAGGACGTAAGGTACAGGTGACAATTTTTCATTATCTTTCAAACAGAATTCAATTCGGCATAATCTGTCGTTAAACAAATGTTTCGTTAAGCTGCCTCGGTCGAAAGGCGAGCCGGGGAAAGGTGGTTTTTGGAAGCTGGACTTGGAACGAATGGAAGAAGGCAGGAAATCGAAACGGCGCGCAACGATATCGCAACGTATTCGTGGAACGAAGAAACAGATACCGGTTACGAAAATGGTGACGAAGATGGTTACGAAAATGGTTGCGAACAATGCACAGAACCATTCTGTGCCACCCAATAGCTCCCTGTCCACGCTGTACGAGACTCCTCCTAGTAGCGTGTCTCCTCCAATTCCAGACTGTCTCTCAGAAATACCTGATTCGACGCAAGTTAGTTTAAGCGAAGACGATCTCACCGGCTTGTTAATTGCCACCGCGGGTTGGGATGAAAATCAATTGGATCTGTTGGATTCTCTTTTAGATACGCTGTAAAGTTTAGAGGTTGATTGTAGATGTGCTCAAAAACGGTGTCTCGTTTCGTACCAATATACCGAGTAAGACACATACTCATTTCAACTACGTATTCCGTCCATTTCTAGCTTACGTGTCTCTATAGAGTATAATAGTTTACGTACAATTCGCGACCGATCTGTGTGAATTGCTGGATAAATAATCTACCAGGCCTTACGGAACGTACAAATGTCTTTTGACAAAACGTAACCAAGTGATCTTTCAACTGTCGTGTACGTAGACATGTTCATCGTTGATACGCGATCTCCATTCCACTTGACCTAACACTTTCTAATAATAAAAACATACGTATCTACGCGTACGATATCTATACAAATCAAATGTATCGTAAAAGTAATAAGAAGAAATAAGAAGAAACGAAACAACTATATAACTTTCCATGATACGCGTCTCATTGTAAGATGTAAGTAATGATAATCCAGTCTGAAATTTCATTTTTTAGCTGTACAAGCTTTCGAAGCTTTCGTGCAAATTATTTTCGTAGATTTATCGTGACGTTACATTGATTACTTAGACTATGCGCGAGAGAGAGAGAGAGAGAGAGAGAGAACACACCAAAGAGAATATTTTTATCTAGTCTTGGTCCAAACTATTCACACGCTCAACCGTCCCGTTTCATTTCATTGCGAACAAAGCAATGTTCCGACTGTTTACATATGTACATACATATGTATGTGAGGGTATTCAAGTATTTACCCGTACGTGTATGTTTATTATATGCTTACACGATATGTTGTAATTATTATAGACGTAGTAGTAGCATAACACGTTTGCAATAGTTTGAATTCTTCTACGTTTTGAAATTCCATTCGTTTCTCGTAGAATTAGAAACAATCTGAATTTTCAATTTCTATGTCGCATCGTCAACGAATATTAACAGGCATTTGTATTTTTATGCACAAGCAATAATACAACGATTACGGAATATGTACTTACATATTATGTACAGAAGTATATGGAGAACAAAAGTACCGGTTTATTCGAAAAGTTTCCAAACAGAAATGAATGCGACATCTTCTTAGAAAATACCGATACCAATGTAGTACGTAAATAAGTATACATATATGTGCGTGCAAAGTGTCGCAACATGAAAAACGGTACCGCTTTCCGACGCGTAACGTTAGCGGTATCGTTTCAAATCTTCCGACATTCTCGCGACCGAGCAAGACGACGGCTTTTCTTTGCGGTTTCGAGCGAGAACATCACACCCTGTACTTGCTCATTTAATTATATAGACTTACTTACACGTGTACGTAATGCAGATTGACATCGACTACGTACACGTGGAAACCCTAATAATATCTCTGGTATATTACCTATCTGTCTACTTATATACGTATACTACGAGTCGGTATTTATCCATCTGCATACAGTGTCGCATGCAATTTTTATTTTCTCATACGGAGATCAAGCGCAACGAACCGAACCGAATGAATGTCGCGTACAATACACGTACTTTATATGTTTCGAGACTTTTCGAACAAACAGTGGAGGATAATACACACAGTTGTATAAAATGAATTTTTACTACACCGGATACGCACTTATCGTTTGTCCGAATAAACGGTTAGAAATCTTACCGACATGTAAACTGATAGTCTATACATAAGTATATATTGCATATTGTATTGTATAAGATTGGCATTTTTGCGATACAGTAATATGTATAGTGCCTTTGAATAAGTAACAACTATTTGCATTTCGCGATATGATATAGCATAAATTTGCCAAGTTGATTAATTCATACGGAGTATGTTTTATATTTCTGCTTGGAAGTCATGTAAACCCAAAGTGCCTTATAAGGAAATAAATTGTTTTACTTTCAAAAGGTACATAGATTTATCCTATCGTGCGAGTCCGTACGAATGAAACAAACGGAATTGATCAATAATTTCGATGAAATAACCATTACGGTTATTACAATTAAATAGCTTGGTAACAAATGTGTCTGGGTCTGTAACACGTATCGTGCTAGTACTTGTGTATATATTTGCGTAAACTATATTCTTGTGAAAAATAAAAAACGGTGCTTACATATGTGTGGAATAAAAACAAGAATACTTGGAAACTACTGATAAAAGCAAAAGATGTATCAACCGGAAGTTAAATGATTTCAACGGACACGTTATCGGATGTCGGTATATACATGTACACATGCTTCCCCATGCGGGCGCGTAGAGGTC